GAGACGATGTCACGTGCTGCCTGTTCTCCTCTCCGTCATCCCACATACGGACTCACTTTGGACAGGGACGCGTCCGACTTCCTGGACAGTGACGTCATAGGTCGGAACTGACCCTGGGTGGTCGAGCCAGATCGACGCGGCGTGCTGAAAGCTGTCTTTATGTTTTTCTCCCTGCCCTGGTGGGTGTTGTTGGTGGTGGTGGGCGGAGCTAGAGGTGTGGTGGAGGAGGGCGGACGAGGCGACATAGGATTGGTGGTGGTGGGATCGACGGGACTGGTGGGTGTGGCCGGGGCGGATTCGAAGCTGGTCTGTGCAAGCAGCCCTTTGGTCGGGGTTCGATTCTCCTGGCGGTGTGACGTCGTGGTTGTCTCCCCCTTGGTTTGGTCTCCGACACCGCTCAGTTTGGACTGCTCGTGGTACAGCAGGAAGTTGTTGACGAACACGGGCACCGTCACGGCGATCAGCAACACCCCGCTCAGCGCGCATGCGCTGCCCACCAGCTTCCCCTGCAACGAGTAGGGCACCATGTCGCCGTAGCCCACCGTTGTCATGGTGACGACCACCCACCAGCAGGCGTCCGGGATGGACTTCATGTGCTGGCGCTCGCAGACGAAGATGAGCGAGGAGAAGGTGAACACGGCGATGAAGATGTAGACGAGGAGGAGGAGGAGGTCTTTGTAGGAGCTGCGGATGGAGAAGAGGAGGACCCGGAAGCTGGTCACGTCCTTGACCAGCCGGAAGAAGCGAAGGACTCGGACCATCTGGCAGCAGTTGATGAAGTCCAGGAAGCTGTTCTTGTATTTCATCTTGGGGTCCAGCCGGTCCCAGACTGCCACCACGTACATCACAACCAGGGAGAAGAGGTCGAGTAGGGCAAAGAAAGACACCAGGTAGCGGAGACGACGGGGCGCGAAGAGGAGGCGGACGAAGTACTCGAGGGTGAAGTAGACGAGGCAGACGATCTCGGTGTAGGCCAGCCAGTCCACCATCGTGTGGACGTTGGAGGGAAGGGACCGGGTCTTCTCGGACGTGGCTTCGGCTACAGCTAGACCGATGAGGGCGGATAGCTCGTCTTTGGTCATGATGTAGCACTCGTAGTTCTCGTAGCTTCTGTTAAATCCTTCGTCCCCTGTCGTCGCGTTGTTGTTGTTGACACTGCTGTTGCTGCTGCTGCTGCTGTTGTCGTTGCTGCTGCCACTTGGCACAGCTCGGCGTTCTCGTTTCAAAGGCGACGACGACCACATCACATCGTCAAAATCTGCGTCTTGTTCTGTCTCTCTGTCCTGCTCAACAAGCGACCCTGAGGCCGTGTCTTGCAACATCTGTCGCAAGCTCTCCATCTGATCCGCGCTGAAACGAATGACGTAATCGTCTTGGGTTTGTTTCGGTAAAACCCTCGATTTTCTCTCGCGTTCCGAGTTTTTGATATGCCCTTTCGACGGTGCCGGAAGTCGCTCATAACTCCCGCCGGAAGTTATTCTTGGCCCTCGTCGAGTCTCATCGTCCTCCGTGACGTCATTGGTTTTGGGGTCGTTGACCTGTGTTCTCATGAGCAATGAGGATCTCACAGAGCGTTTGCCAACCTGGGGGGGG